GATGATGGATGGATGATGAATGATGATGGCTGGATGATGGCTGGATGATGGATGATGATGGCTGGATGATGGATGATGATGGTTGGATGATGGCTGGATGATGGATGATGATGGCTGGATGATGGCTGGATGATGGCTGGATGATGGATGGATGATGATGGCTGGATGATGGATGATGATGGCTGGATGATGGATGGATGATGATGGATGGATATTTCTACTATTTTTTTTAAATATACTTTACATCACTGATAATTTTCTGAATCTTTCCTTTAGAGCGGTTGCCAGATGAGTAAAATGGTTAAAGAAAACTTTAGAGCGGTTGCCAGACGAGTAAAATGGTTAAAGAAAACCTTTTGGCCGTAGCTGATTTGGTGCAAGTGTTTTCAGGAGGTCCGTGTCGTCCGGTCGCTGAGAGAAGACACCATAAGAAGTTCAGCTGTGGTTGAACAACTCGTCGTGAACACAAACACAAGCACGTGCCGTTTCTGAGGCTGTGGGTCAGCGAGGTGAAGCTGCACACGGTGCTCTGCAGGTTCAGGTCTTGTGTCCACACATGGACGCAACAGCTGAGTTCAAGGACTCTCTCAATGAGGAAAAAGCAAGAGGCCCTAGAATAATCCATGTGGTGCAAGGCTGCGAGCAGCACCTGTGAGTTGGACCGCAACGGTTCTACTACTGGTTCACTGGTCTCCATCTTTCTTGGCATGATTCATCTACAGCTGGCACTTCAATAAATGTTGAATGCAAGGTTAGGAACAACTCCTACATCGGTGGTCCACAACCACCGGGCCGTGGACCGATTTATACGGGGCCCACAGAAAAAGAATCTTTTATTTTGAAAACTCACAGGATTCTCTCCACCACACCAGTCAATGAGTGTCTGTTGTCGCAGGTGAACACACACAGGAGGTAAGTTTCAGGTTGTGTTGGACGCGTGCACGGACCAGCGCCCGTCCAGGTGGAGTAATTCAGCTGCTGGTGTGCAGCCGTGTCTGAAGGATCCCTGCATACGTTCCAACCTGACAGAGACTGTAAAACTATGAACTCGATCATTGGAAAGAAACTAGGCTTCCTAACGTCACATCAGAGCTGGCCCTTCACATTTCTGCTTCTGCTCCTAAAAATATCTCCGCCCCTAAAACTTCAGTCAGTTCTTTTAAAACACACAAATATCACAAAAGTTTTGCACTTTGCACAAGTTCCTGCTCTTTGTGAACAGTCTGATGTGCATCAGTGCGGAGCAGGGAGGAGGGGACGAGGCTCAGCTGGCCCGCTGTGGGATCTACTCATGAAAGGAGAACCGATCCTGCACTGAAGACGCGTGTAAATCACACAGGAAGAGACTCAAAGTACATTTGAAGTACAGGTGCTGGTCATAAAGTTAGTGTCGTGAAAAACTTGATTGATTTCAGGAATTCCATTCAAAAAGTGAAACTTGTAGATTCGTTACCAGTGGTGGGATGTAACTAAGTACAAATACTTGGTTACTGTACTTAAGTACATTTTTCATGTATCTGTACTTTACTTAAGTAGAGTTAAATGTGGGTACTTTACACTTTTTCTCCACTACAGTTTACATCAAGTATCTGTACTTTCTACTACACTACATTTCTATAACGCGCTGCATTACAAGTTACATTCATGTTGCAGCTTTTTGATTTGTTCGTTACTTTGAAAGTAACTAATGATGAAAGTAACTAATGATGAGAGGAGCTGGTCCAGTGAATCACTGCAGAGTGGGCAGGTAACGTTAGGCCCCGCCTTCAAGAAGAGCTGGACCAATGACATATATTCTAGTATTTATGTCACTGAGCTGGGTGCACCTGCAGCACCACTAACACACCCAGAATGTATTCCACCGCAAGAGAGTCACCCAGAAGATACGCTGCACACAGGGCCTTATTGAAAGATTATTGAAAGATTATTGAAAGATTATTGACAGACTAT